GCTAAACAAAATGTAACGGTATAAGTAAAAGAAAAATTCTTAAGCAAATTTAGATGGGAACCATCTCATGGTCTAGCGGTCAGAAATGACAACGACTAGTTTATTATTTCAATATGCAATAGAGTTAAGGCTAAATAAACATTAAACAACATTTTTCTCTTTCCAAAATACCTTTTAATTTACAGTAGCTCATCTAATGACCCAAAAATGCTACAAAAATTATTCGGTGACTGATTAAGAGATTATTGTGAGTATAAAATCAGTGAATACAAATTCTGACGCATTTTTAATTTTACTGCAGTTTTTTTAACGTGTGTTGTCGGAATTCAAAAGTCAATGGCAAATTTCTTTACGTTATGTGTTTCTTTGCGATCTTATAGAACACTTCAAGTGTTAATATGAACCAGCTGCCCTGAAGAGCCAGGAACACACACAAAAAGGTCAACCCATGCATATATTTAATTTATCCTATGCCTAATAAATCTAATAAAACTCAGATTGGCACAATAATACCAAAGAAGACCAAAAGATATGCATGACGCAGAATAACATATGTCATAAGCTATTAGGATGAGCCAACAAACGTTTAACAGGAGGGGATAGCCTACAGCGTCTTCTGGTGGTCACTGATGAATATTTGACAAAACGAAAAAGCTTTATGTTCGAGTGTACGTCGTAGACTAATCATTTTAGTTTTATTAAATGCCACAACACATTAGACATTTTTTACAGTCTCGGGAAAAAAAAATCTTGGTTAATTTTAATTCGTAACATTACAAATATTTACATAATAGTAGCGTTCACATCTTTGGCCAGTAGCTACTCAAACGTTATAGAACACTTGTCACCTTTCAAAGTGAAATTTAATTTTTATCATCCTTAAACTAGAGGAAAACTACGCATTTCTCTAGTTTGAAGTTAGCACAGGTGGGTACAGTGATGATAATCGCGCGTGCAATTATAGCAATTAGTGTAAAAACTATGGGGCGTCTAACGTTGCTCTCAAGGTGTTCGGCCTACTTGATCCAGTTTACAAAAGGCTCTCTTAATTATCTTAATCAGGCTCACTCCTCTCTTCTGGAGTACGGCTATCATGGCCAATTAACGGCAATTAGTAGTATGCTTTGTCTTGTTTTAATATATTTTTCTATTGACAATCCGGACAATTATGTTCAGCACTGCCTGGGTGGCGAATGCTTTCAATATGCACACACACACACACACACACACACACATATATATATATATATATATTTATACACACACACACACACACAATTTTGCCATAATTTATCCAAAGGAATTTTATATTATATTATATTATATTATATTATTATATATAGGCCTACAAGTCCGACTTTCTAACCATTACGCCGCGACTGCCCCCAAGGAGGCTTTAAGGTGGGACGGGAGTGATGCTGATGATGCTCATCAGATGCAGTAAATATTGACAGCAGAGTACACAAACTTTAGACTCCACGATGCTATTGTGACATCTAGTGGAGAGTGGCAACCATGCCGTTTGTACAGAGACACCTCATGCGAGAGAGCTGCATGGGAATATTCGTTTCCCTCTGAGTTCAGATCAGATGAAACTCACCACAGGAAGCTTTTAACCTCAAGGTGGCAGAGTGGCACCGCTTACAGCAGGCAACCGAAAGCGTGGACATTAGTTGTTGGTGATATCACGCCTTCCCCCACCCCGTTTCACTTTGTAGTTAACTAGTGATATCAGACCAACTAGGGGCATAAAAACGCATTTGTAATGACACGTAAAATGTATTTAGCCTTTATTTACACGGCACACAGTCGTTTCTGTGAAGAGTTATTCAAAAAGCAGAATGATAACAATGGTTCCTAATAATTCAAGCTTTACTTTCTTAAATCATGTCTTGATAAATATCAACAAAACATCGCTTCTACCAGATTAGCATATAGTATAACTTTAATAGGTTTATCTGGTGTGGTCAAATAATCCGTTTTTGTTACAGGCATTTCTATGTAACAGCTGCATTTAATTTAATTTTATTTCAGTGTATTTAGTGAAAGGTAAATGATTCTTCGCAGCAGGTCATTTAAATCTTAAATCAAGAAACAATTAGGTAATCCTACTTTAGAGAAAAACATAAATTCATAAGCGCAGTTGCGTTCTATGCTATTCCAAGTTGTTGTGGCCAAGTCTCGCCATAAACCAGCGGAGACCTCTCAAAGCCTATCTTTGTCACTCCCCAAACCCAACGACTTTTAAAACTCCATTGTCTTGTTAAAGCCCATAAATTTGTCACCCGGGACTGATTAAACATCACGAGAATTGAGACGCTGCGGATTTTGTCTAGGTCCCTTTGGGAACCACACAATGGTCCTTTCAGAGGACGACATAAAAAAGTGTTTTAGAGAAGATGTAGAGAAGAGAGCGCTGCGGTCAGTCCCCTCCATATGTATTACAAGGTGGCCCGAGAGAAGGGACAAAAGGCCAGGTGACAAGGATGATACTAACTGGGTCGCTGAATTAATTGGGACAAGCTCGGGATTGAGAAAGCACGAGAAAACACGCCTCTTGCATTAATGTTATGACAATGATCACCCTCTTTTAAAATATGGAGAGGACAGTGAGTGCCTGAACTTTCTAAAGTCACAATGCCATTTGTCACAAACCGCTGCTTAATTTATTTTTGGGTGTGTTGGGGTAACAATTTTAAGAACATCTAACAACTTCTGTTTTCTTATTTAGTCCCTAAGCTTTAACTAGCACTCAAATACGCTTAAAAACAACATTAATATTTCGTATCCTGTAAAAAACACGATAAAAGCCAGAATGTGAACATTTCAGATTCACACAAGAATTAATTACCATTGTGCTGCATTTCTTGCTCAGCGTTTACCTACTATGCTGAGTCTTAAATAAGGGTTATTTCTTTATGCTGGTTATTTGGTCTTCTCTGTTGGGTGAAAGTGGACGTCTTAACATTACAAAAGCCACTCATCTCTTGCTGTGCGCTAATTCTCATAGGCCTACTCTTTTTTTTTTTTTTAGTTCAGTCTGTGATCTTTTGTACAAACAGTATGTAACAATTGCAGGGATTAACAAAAAGGTGAACGAATTAAACATTTGTTGCCTAAAAAAACTTCTTAGAGGAGAAATTACATATTTTAAAATCTGTATGATTAAAAGGAGTGGTTTTAAGCATACTGAATATTTAGTATAATGTGAATAAACCAACAATAATTTGAACAATTCAAACAACTATAAACTGCTAAAACATATTTTTTTTATTCTCAGTTTTTTTTGTAATACACATAACACTTTAAGATGATGCAATTTCATCAAATTATAGC